CCAACTCACAGTGCTCTTCCTGCCTCAGCCTCTAGTGCTGGGGTTACAAGTGTTTGCTACTACGCCCAGTTCTATAATTCTAAGTTTTGTACCTTCATTAATTTAAAATGTTTTGGGCCAGCCAGATAGCTCAGTGGACTAAAGCGGCTGCTTAGGCAGAGTGCAAGGACTGGGTTTTGATTCCCAGCACAAGCCCTGCTGGCCCTGCCCTTGGGGCGTGCTGAGACTGGGAGTGGTGGCACCTGCCTTGGGAGCACTTGGGAGGCTGAAAACAGGGAGTCTGGTCTGTGTAGTGAGAACCTACACACCCTGTACTAAATACACAAAAGAAAAAAGTTTCTCTGACACACTGTACTTATTAAGGAGCATCCTATCTGATGACTCAAGACACCTAGATCATTATATTACTTCTCGGAATCATCCTTGAAGTAACAGACAAACCTTTGCTCTTGTGTGGTATTATTTCTTTAGAAAAGGTTAAAACCTAATTGGAAACAACAGATCATCATCATCATCATCATCATCATCATCATCATCATCATGATGATGTTGCATTTTTAGGGGTCTACAGGGTGTTCAGGGTCTCACTACTAGACCGGACTTGTAGTGATCTGTCTGTTTACAGCCTCCCAAGTACTGGGATTACAGGCACCTACCACCACAGCAGGCCTGGGGATCGAACCCCTAGCCCCTGTGTCTGCTTACAGGTACTTTAATCCGCTGCCGCTGGAAACAACAGATTAATTCATGAATTTAAAAAATGATAAAAACAAAATCATCTAATAAAAATTCAAGACACTTAAAACTATAAATTGTGACATGAAAAGAACTAGATATTATCAAGCTATACCAAGCTCTAGAAATCCAGGGTTAACATGATATCCTCCTCTTCCTCTGGAAGAGCAATAAATGTGTAAAAGTACTTAAGACCCACAGCTTTTCTCTAAGTAAGCAGACTACATACAGACTACTATGTATTTGACATGCCAGATCTCAGTTACTCTCTATCTCTGTGGTATCAACTGAGAAAATGACACCATTTGGAGACTTTGTTATTAATCCTGTATTATTTTGATTAGTACTTATTTTAAAAGTCATCTCATTTTCAAAGATATTTTAGTACTATTCCTGGTTGAATGCTCTCTTTTGATTGTTCAGCAGGATATAATGAGTTCCATCAGTACTGGCTGCAAATGGTCCATAGAACAGGACAGCACAGGCAGGCTCTAGGGCCATTGAGCATGTCTTCAAACCCCAGCTCTAAGCTGCATGACTACATAATTGCTTTCTGTATCTCTGTTTCAGAGTGGGACAAACAACAGTTTCTACCTCTAGTGATGTAAAGATTAAATCAATCAAGACACAGGTAAAGCCCTTAAATCAAACTCTATGGCATACTACAAGCACTCAATAACCTTTAATACTGGGCTTGGTGGCCCATGCCTGTAATCCCAGATTCAGAAGCTGAGGCAGAAGGACTGTTGGGAGTTCCAGACTAGCCTGGACTATAAAGTGAGCTCAAAGCCAGCCTGAACTGCATAGGGAGACCCTGTCTCCAAAAGACAAAAGAAAAGAAAAATCTGTTAAGTATCATTGCCATTGGGCAGGGTCCTCTGAAAGGTGCTGGGGCAGAGATTTAACAGCCAAGCTCTAAGGTTGAGGTATTCACAGTCTACCAGAGACAGGTAAACAAAGAACAGTAGTATTTATTTATCTGTAGCCTGCATGTTGAAGCAAACTAGGTGAAGGTGATAAGCACACAGGAAAAATCTGCACGGACATCACCGGTCCCCCAGCAGACCCATTTGTGACCAAGTACTCAAAGCCACGAGCTTTTCTCATTTCCTTGTGGAAGTCACCTGGCCTCACTATTCTGACTCCCAGGCAGTTTGTCCACTTTCCACAGAAGCCAGAGACCAGCCACCAGTCTGGCTGCTCTTGCATCTGGCCACCAGCAGGGCAATCACTAATTTCCCTGAGAGTCCAGTTCACTCCCACTTGCCTAGGAATAGCTGACAGCACAATGGAAAAATGATGCTTAGCCCTGCAGCTAACCTGATGCACAGCAAAACCCAATTCTTTTTTTTTTTTTTCCTCTCGGAACCAGAGATTGAACTCAGACCCTTGCGCTTGCCAGGCACCCAATTCTCAAAGGAAAAAAAAAAAAAAATCAAATTGTATATTGCTCAACATTCCTATCAGAGGCTGGGGGAGTAACTCAGTGGCATAAGCACCTTCCTGGCAAGCTCAAGGTCCTGAATTTGATCCTCAGAACCAAAAAAACAAAACAAAACAAGAAAAAAACCCCAACTGTACAGGAGTTACGACTGAGCTCCCATTCCTGAACTTAAACACACACACACGCCCCATTATTGCATTTTACTCCACGACCTGAGTAACACAGGCCTGCCAACTTCCACTCCTGTACCATCCTTGTTTCCCAGACACTGTCCCCACTGAAGTCAGGAGGGAGCCCCAGCCTCAATCTCTAAAGCATTTCTGACAACTCATCACAAGGAAAGCAGGAAAACAGACCAAAGTACAGTAAAGTTGTTACACGGAACTCTGCAGAGCTGGGCTTAGACCATAACAAAAACAAAAGGCTTGCAACCCCTAAATTTAAACAGATAAACCAGGAGCCTGGGCCTCGCTCAGGCCTTTAAGTGGCTGCTTCCACAAAGCTGTCAGCCTCAGGTGGCTAGAGTTCGAACCTCACAACTCTCCCGCTGTCCAACGTGCCGTGAAGGCATGCGAGGATAAAAAAATAAATAAATAAACAGATAAACCTTAGAATATATTACATTCTACACTGTAAGCATCAGTAATTACCCTTCACCAACACTTTCCCTTCAGTGTTGAGTCTGGACAGTGTCGGCCTGCGGGCAGGGGCAAGTATCCCATCACCGCACTACATACGGAGCCCTTTTTAAAACTTATTTTGAAAGAGAGACCAAGCAGTCCATGCTGTCCCTGAGTTTGCAGTCCTGTCTCAGCCTCCTGAGCAGCTAGGGATACAAGGGCTAGCTTATTGATTCTCGTTCTTTTAATGGTTCATTAGTTTTTTCTTTACCATCTGCTCAAGAATGACATAACTGAAACTACTGGACAAACGGTGCAGTTATAATATGTTACTTTGGATGGGTTACTACATCCCAGGCATAGGTGAATTAAAATAGAAAATTCTGAATACATACAATCAGAAACACACACAAGATAAGGTCACCAAAAAAATCACAACTGAAACATCAAATTTTGATGCATTCAGAATTAAAACTGCAAAAGCTGGGTGTGGCGGCCCAAGCCTGTAATTCCAGCACTAGGAGTCCAGGACCAGCCTGCGGTACAACCAATAGGAGCTTAAAGCCAGCATAAACTGCATCGCAAGACACTCTCAAAAATGCCTCATCCTCCCACAAAAAAAGAAAAGAATTAAAATTGCAAAAAGTTCCAATCAAAGCTGATTGAATTCAGGCAGTAGTACATTATTTGCCAGGATCTTTAAGGGAAACAATGCAATTTTCATAAATCACACTTAAAAAACACTTTACATTTAAATTTTAAATTATTTTTTATTTTATTTTATTTTTTTGGTGGAACCGGGGATTGAACTCAGACCCCTGCGCTTGCCAGGGAAGCACTCATTGTACTAAGCCATCTCCCCAGCCCCTTACATTTAAATTTTAACTCAGTGTACCAACAAAGACTCCAAAACAGGTGAAGAAATCAGAAATTATGCCAGACACTAAACACTTCCATGTGCTTCCCCCCCCAACAAGTTTTGCTTTTACTCTCATAGAGATCACACTTGAAGTGGCTGAACTGTCACCCACTTGGCACACACACCAAGTGAAACAAAAGAATAATATATTTTCACCATATAAGAAACAGCCAATAAAATATTTAGTTTATATTACAAACCACCTAGTTTCCATCTCAAATCTGTTTCCTCTGCTTAATCCTCTGGGCAGGGTTTAACCAATGGGACCACAGACCCCCAGATAACCTCAAGGATCATATGCCAGGTCAGACACTGCTAGGGAGGACAGGGTGAAGGAGGTGTGGGCAAAAGGTCATGTGGGGACTGAGGTGAAAGTCCCAGGACAGGGCATTTGAGGAGCGGCTGGGAAAGGAAAGATGTTTTTAGCACAGACATCATTTTTAGGACAAAGTAAAAGGGCCTGAACAACACGAACAAAAAGCCATCACGACTCTAAACGTAAAACACAACTACGCTTCACCCCTCTAAGTTTCTTCAGTCCCCTTAGGTACAACTTCGGGGCTCTCCAAGCTCTCTGTCCACCACTTTACAACTTCGCAACCTGGCCCACTCAAAGTTGGGATTATGGCAAAGACCGGACAGTTTAAGGTTCAAGCCTACAACGTCCAGCCGGGCGTGGTGGCACACGGCTGTAATCTCAGAACTCGAGGCTGAGGCAGGAGGATAGCCATGAATTAAGAGGCCAGGCTGCGCTAATAGTTAAAGGCCAGCCTAAACTACACAGTGAGGCCCTGTCTTTTTTTTTTTTTTTAAAGGACTAAAATATGGAGAAGAGCATTTAAAACGAATAGTGGATAAGAAAGCATCCATCGTGAAAAGCAAAGAATTCAGAGCCTCAGACTCCGGCACCAAGCAGTCCCTGCCTCCTGCTGAAGGCAAGAGGCCGCGGACCGGCCAGGGCCCACCGGCCACCAGGACGCGGCGCCCCGACACCCAGCCCGAGCCGGGGACCCCCTTGCCTGGCACCCCACACCTCCCGCACGGGGAGCCGGGACCTCTGCGCGGGCCCCGACAACATCCTTCACGGCACCCTCACAGCGCGTCCCGCCCAAACTCCGGCTCAAACTCCGGGGCGCCCCGAGGCCACCCCACAGCCCGACCGGCCGCGGCCGGGTCCCCGCAGCGGGGACGCGCGGCGCCGCGAGGGGAAGCGCAGGCGGAGGTGGCCGCGTCCCGGCGCCGGCCCCACATGACCTTGCACTCTGCGTCCAGGCCGCCTCACCTTCCGCCACGTCTTCGTCGACCGCGCCCTTCACCTGCGAGAAGCACCACTGGAAATCGTTGCCGCCCGCGGGGCAGCCGCCGCCTCCGGCTCCTGCAACAGAACGAGCGGTCAGGCCGGCCGCGCCCGCCCCGCCATCCCGCCTGCATCCCGCCCGCGTGCCCAAGGCCCTCACCTGCCATGGCAGTAGCGCGGGACGGGGCCTGCCCAGCCGAGCGCGCCCGACCGGAGGCGCCCC